GAGAAGTCCTGAACAAGCTGCCGCGAATCAAAGCGGAACTAGTTCAAGGGAAACCGGACTGGAAATAGTGGGATTTCACTCAGCTTATCAACGCCCTTCGCAAGTGGAAGGAGATTCACCCGCGTGAAATCGCGAAATCCCGTGACAGAAGTTTTTACGTAGAAGACCAAGACCTGAATGCACCACGGGGGTGTGTTTTCTGCAATAACACCTCACACAAGCCAAGTGATTGTACAGTTATCTTAAGCGCCGCCGATAGGAAGAAATTTCTACAAGAGAAGAGGCCTTGTTTTAATTGCACTGGCCCTCATCGAGCAGCTCGCTGTCGAAGCTGAGGAAACTGCGCTCGCTGTAAGCAGAGGCATCACACAAAGTGATTGTACAGTTATCTTAAGCGCCGCCGATAGGAAGAAATTTCTACAAGAGAAGAGGCTTTGTTTTAATTGCACTGGCCCTCATCGAGCAGCTCGCTGTCGAAGCTGAGGAAACTGCGCTCGCTGTAAGCAGAGGCATCACACATCTATCTGTGATCAGCCTACCCGACCTGCAAACGAAGGAGCTGCAATGACCGCCGCACACGTGGGGGAGAAAGTCTGCCATCCAGTAGTTATAATCAAGGTCAATGGAGTGAAATGCCATGCGTTACTTGACACTGGGGCCACTGGATCGTACATATCAGCCTTCTTGGTGAATCTCCTGAAAGTAAAGCCTTCTCGCACCCTGACACGTGGTATTAAAACAATCATGGGATTGGTCATCAAGTACGTCGAGACCTACGATGTGAAGATATGCGATACACTAAACTGCGTGCTACCAGTCTGCGTGACGAAAATCGAACAGCGCGAGCTACTAACCCTGGAGAATCCTGAGATGCTGGGGCGATATCCACATCTTAAAGGTGTCCGAATGGAAGAAACCGACACAAAGGAACTCCTTCCCATCCATGTGATACTGGAGGCAAATGAGTACACGAAGATCAGGATGGCCGGTTATCAGCACGCAGGAGCCGTGGGCGAGCCTATTGCCGAGCAGACCAGGTTCGGGTGGACGATAATGTTATCAGGTGCTGAAGTTGACTCTCAAAACATGTTCTTGCCACAGACCTCAATTGGAGACTACGAAGAACTGTGCCGTATGGACGTATTGGGATTGCAAGACACGCCTATTGGAGATCAGGACGTTGTGCACAAGGATTTCCTTGAACAGCTTAAACGCAGTCCAGAGGGATGGTACGAAACTGCGCTCCCTTGGAAAGGTGGCCATCCCCCCTTGCCTAATAATAAGACCGGAAGCCTTAAGCGCCTTGCCTCACAAATAGGAAGATTATGATGCCATAATACTGCAGCAACTAGAAGAAGGCGTTGTTGAAGAAGCCGAAGTGCCCGCCCAAGTAAAAGAATTCTACATTCCTCACAAGGCTGTTATCAGAGAGAGTTCAGAGACGACGAAAATGCGAATTGTCTATGACGCCTCCGCCAGAGCCTATGATGAAAAGGCGTGGAAAATTAAAGCTACCTCCACAGAGATCTTCGAAAAAGCCTCGTTTAAGCTTTATAAAGGGAACTCTATTGTCCGAGAGTTAGAAGCCTTCAGCGCACACGACAATGAAGGAGTGGTCACCTACGCAAAGGAACAGCTAGGAGTGAAGCCGTGGGAGTGTGGACTCCTTGGATTGAGGTGGAACAAAGACTCTGACACAATTGCAGTTACCTTCCCCCAAGAAATTGTAGCCGCTACAAAGAGAGGAGTGCTGGGCAAAATGGCAAAGGTGTATGACCCCCTCGGCCTAGTCTCGCCTTTGACTTTAGAAGGAAAAATGCTATACCGTGATGTCTGTCCAAAGAAGATAGCCTGGGATGCAGAGCTGCCTCAAGAACTTTTGAAGCGATGGCAGAAGTGGGAAATGAAACTACCTGCTAAAACTGAAGTACCTACAATCGGCGACAAAATGAGTTGAGACACTTCGCCCAAAACTGGGCTTTTTTACGTTTTATTAACTTCAAAGGGAGGAAATATAGCTTTCCTCCCCCATCACCTCCGTGCAATGTTGTGCCGTTGTTCTAGCTGCTTATAGAAAACAACAAACACCCCAACTTTGAATGGAGGGGACAGGGGAGGGGTGCAGATTCTTTTGTTCTCCGAAATTACCCTATTTAAGAACAATGTCTCAACAATTTTGTCACCGATTGTAGAGCCCCAGTTCCAGCCAGAGAACCTATTCAAGCAATTACACTTCACGCCTTTGGAGACGCTTGCGCTCAAGGGGTCGCCGCAGCTGTCTATGCAGTGGTCGAACAAACGTCAGGGGTGAACCAAGGATTGGTAGCAGCCAAAGCACGCCTCGCTACGCAGGGGCTCACCATTCCCCGCCTGGAATTGGTTTACGGCCACATGACAGTTAATTTGCTGACCAACGTTCACGATGCTCTGACCAGGTACCCAGGAAAGTCACTAAATGCCTGGCTTGACAGCACTGTTGCCCTTCACTTGATTAGAGGCGCCAGCAAATACAAGCAATTTGTTGGAAACCGTGTCCGCAAGATAAAAGAAAACGAGTCCGTCTCTTGGAGACACGTACCGACACAAGAGAATCCTACAGATCTGGGGAGTCGAGGCAGACCAGTTAACAAAGAGAATGTGCTATGGTGGGAAGGGCCAAATTAGCTGAAGGATCCAGCTAGCTGGCCCCCAGATATTGTAACAACTACAATCCCAGAGTCTGAGGCAGAAGCGAAAGCAACCAAGCAAGTGTTCGCCTTAGCCGTGAATGGAACAGAATCGAATGTGTTTGATGAGTTGCTATCGAAGGGAAGCCTTTGGCACTGTTTGAGAGTAGCAGCGTCGGTCCAAAGGTTCATCAACAACACAAGGAACTCCGAGCACAAGAGGAAGACAGGCGCTCTCACCACGGAGGAGATAAACTACCAGAAGCTTCTCTGGGAGAAAACACTGCTGAAACTTAACCTGCAGATGAATCATGATGGTGCTTTGGAATGTCTCGGAAGGATCCAAGGTGATTACCCAGTCTACCTACCTGACAGTGAGATGTACACTGAGAAGCTCGCGTAGCATGTCCATGAAGCCACTCTACATGGGGGAGTGAGCTTAACCATGGCCAAAGTGCGAGAGACTCATTGGGTCCCCAGATTGCGCCAGCTCGTCAAACGCCTAATAAAACGCTGCTACGGATGACACAGGTTTCATGCTGTTGCGTACTCCAACCCCCCTCCAGGAAACCTACCTCAGGATCGTACTGTGGGAACTACTTCCTTTCAGGTCGTCAGGGTTGACTATGCCGGTCCAGTAAAGTACAGCGTTAGCAGAAACAGAGAGGGAAAAGCCTACATAGTCCTCTACGTTTGCAGCCTGAGCCGTGCCTTGTACCTCGAACTGACGAAAACCATGGAGACAGAAGAGTTTATCAGTACCTTGAAGCGATTCATCGCAAGGAAAGGCCGCCCAGAGAAGATTTACTCGGATAATGGTTGAACGTTTGTGGGTGCAGCAAAGTGGCTGCAAAATGTGATGTAAGATGAACGACTGCATGATTTCCTTGCCAAGCTGAACATCAAGTGGCAGTTCAACCTCACCAAACCACCATGGTGGGGTGGGCAGTT